TTTAATTTTAATAGCGATTGACAAGTGTGTGGCCTTAACAGCACCGCAACCTTGTCATCCGACAACCAAAAGATCATGTTGGCGGAATCAATTTCCATTTCAAGGAAGGACAGCACCTCCGCTGGGGCCTCCGTCTTCTGTTCTGCGACCGGCATGCCAAAATCCGCAGACACTTCCCGAAAAACACGCAGCAGGTCCCCGCATACCCCGGTCCCCCGTTTGCCTACAAACAAAAAATCATCTAAATAGTGGGTCACTTACCCGTAACCTGAAACCTGAATGACTACCCATTCCAGAAACAAGGCATGGTGTTGTCGACGTGCGGTGGGTGGCCAGGGGTCTAGACATTAGGATTCGTAAGTCCAAGACGGATCAAAGGGGGGGAAGGTGTGTGGGTATGTATTGATGCGGCGGGGGGTGCACCTGTTTCGGAGATTCTTGGAGGCCTGGGGTTCTCTGCTGGTGCATCGGGACGGATCGCCGATGACGCAATATCAATTTGGGAAGATCTTGCGTGAATCCCTGGTGGCAAGCGGCAGGAGCCCGCTAGGGTACTCGGCCCATTCCTTCCGGATTGGGGCAGTCACGCAGGCTAGTGGGATGGGATTTGCACCGGCAGCGGTGCAGAGGTTGGGTCGGTGGAGTTCTGGGAGGTTTCAGTTGTATGTACGGCCACACCTATTGTAGGGTTTCAGGCTCGGGGTGAGTAGCAGTTTCTTCCCGTTCAGTTTTCTGTTTGTTCATTCTAGGTTCACTTCCACGCTACGTATGGATATTAGGGCATTCCTACATCTATTGGGCAGCGAGGAGGGCGGCGGAGCGCCCTTATGGCCGCAACCTGGGATTTTCCTATGACCAAGTGCGTGTTCGATGGAGGGGCATTCGGAGGTTCTCATGGAGCCAGGTGTACCCGGAGTGCCGTTTCCTGAGCAGGTTTGTTCCCAGTTCGGTTATATTGGTCATACATGCAGGGGGGAATGACCTAGGCAGGGTCCGGACAGTGGATCTAATTCACTGCATGAAGGGTGAGATCGCTCGTTGCATGGCACTGTTTCGGGATGTCACGTTGGTGTGGTCGGAGGTGATTCCTAGGCCCTGTTGGCAGTGGTTGCCTTATGCAAAAGGGCTGGAGCGCAGCAGGCGCAAGCTGAATATGACAGTGTCCAGGTTTGTGCGTCGGCTTGGGGGGTTCGCGGTCTGGCACGTGGAGTTAGAAGGGGATAACAGCAAGTTGATGCGGTCAGATGGAGTCCATTTAAGCGTAATTGGTCTGGATATCTTCAATGTGGGGCTGCAAAGGGGGATTGAAAAGGCGCTGGCGGCGGGGGGCGTGATGATGGAGGAGGGCGGTGGAGGCCGGCATCGCGGTGGCGGAATACCTGGCCAGCGCAGGGGAAGGCAACTGCCAAGTCGGATTGGGGAGTCGCAGTCTGCTTGGGCTGAAGGCGGAAGACAGACTGCTTTGGACTCTGGTAAAAGGATGTGAGATCTGTCTGATGGATGAATCACCCCATCAGCTGACAGTTGGTATGAATGCTGGCAAAAATGTTAAATAAAGCTGTGGCCGTTGCCCTTATCCATTATACAGGTGTTGTGTGTTTATTGGGCAACGGATGGGTTAATGGGTCTGCAGTCATGTTATATTGGTTATATAAAGAGGATTATATAGAACAATAGGATGAAGGGATTCAAATGGCTTCATGGGTAATGTGAAATGTTACATAATAAAGCCAGGGCAGACAGACAGACAGAAGTTTAATCAAACAAGGACAAACATTTCTTGACAAACAAGAGGTTTTATTGTAGTAAATGTCTGTTTTTGTTACTTTGATTAGGAAGCACACAGTGACTGACGGAGGATTCAGTGTAAAATTACCAGGATTCACAATGAGTGTCTCATTCAGGCTGCTGTGATCAACGTGGCAGGAGTATATCTCCACCTCCTCTGGCAGTACTTCCACTGTGACTGTGATCTGATAGGTGCCATCAGTATTGGGGAGGACCTGTTTGGCCTCATCTGATGGAATCTCTGTACCGCCTCTCTTCCAATTCACATCCACATCCCGGGGATAAAACCCGTACACCTGGCAGTGAAGCTTTGTGACCCCATCTGATTGCTGACTGGAAACCTTCACCTCTGGGCAAACTGAAGTTAAAGAAAAGTTATTTTAAAAAGATTTCTGGAGACAAAAATCACACATATTTACATCCATATAACAGTTGTGTTTTACAAATTTGTACACGTATTATAATTATTAGCATTTACACAGCACAACCATTTTCAGCAACTCTTTACAATTATAGAACAAGGATGTTTTACTACATAAAATAAATGCTGACAGATACAAGAGAAAAAGAATGCTCTGTTAAAACAAGATTATATAAAGATCAGACACACAATGCCTGGCTTGATATCGGTCTTGATTCAGTCACAGGACAATATGTTCTAATCATGTTCATGGTATGCCTCCCATTCACTTATTCAGTTAAAAGATCACTATAGGCACCAGAACCTCTACAGCTTAATGTAATGTTTCTAGGACACATAACCTGCCCCTGCAGACTGAGCAGTGTAAACACTGTTTTTCAGAGAAAAGGCAGCCACTAGAGGGACTTCCTGGATGATGCCCTGCAAAGATTGCAGGACCAAAGTTCAGCGTCTCCACACTCTGCTTGGAAACGCTGAGTGTTCCTCATAGAGGTGGAATGACTCTTTATTTATAATCTATATTTTCTTATTTCCTATATTTCTTATTCCCTATATTGTGAGATGTAAAGAATAAAATTAAATGTGGAAACCCACACGCTGTATTTATCTCTAACTTGGAACTGAGGTCCTCCTTCTTGGCTCCCTGTCAATCACTGTTTTAAACTCTTTTATGTCAATTTAAAAAAACAGCCTTTTGGTTTTGATCCCTATTTCCAATCTTATACTGCACAGGTATACTCAACTCTCTTGCCTCTGTATCAATGGGGCACTAATGGACCCATTTATTATCAAAAAAGGTTTAAAACAGGGGT